CCAAGGGATGGGGCCATCAGGATCCCCTCAACCAATCACAGGCATGGGGGGATGCCATGCTTGGCCCACAAAAATGGCTGCCAGCCTTAGGATCTGTCCACAAAATCATCCAGCTGCTGCCTTAAGTTTGGTAGACACCTACTTATATCAATGTAACTTCTTCCTCTTCCTTATTGGAATAGCTTCATCAATATAAGGAATTTTAATACATATTAAGACTTGCTAAAATATTTCTGACAAACTTTCATGGAAAAATGGCAAAATGAAACAAGTCAAATCATACTAAAATAGTTATGTTGCTTGGATTGGACTTACCATTATTGCACATGGGAAAAAAAGGTTCAGAGGGTATCTTCTGATATGTCAGTCTCATCACACATTCCCTTTGTATTCTTTTATTGGATGCGTGCATTCACTAACTATGTAAGAGGGTGGGATTGGCTTGATTTACACACATGCGATAGCACAACGAATAAGCAGTAGCTTGAGGCTAGTGGCCATGTTCAAGTGACAGGATCAGTGGTCACTGAACTACTGTGCATCTTCATCTTTGGTGCCAAGTTACTGTATTTCTCCCTGATCCTCACTGCTGTTAGATTATGCTATAAGGCAGGATCTACTGAATGATTTTGGTTCACAGAGCCCCCTTTACTTCTTTCCCTGCTTTGAAAGATGAAAAGAGGAAATGGAAGCAATCCAGGTCAGATTCGACAGCTGTCAGACTCATAAAGAGAAAAACAAATGCTGTTCCATGACAAGCATTGTGGCATCAACCCTCACACAGTCCCCATCTGAGAACTGTGTTAGGGAAATGAATGGAATCCAGCATGTGGCTGCTCAGAAAGTGTTGTTCTCAGGAGACGTTTATGGTGGAAAGGAAGAAAGACAATGCCTGATGTCTTGGGCTTTTCTCATGGCTGTGAAAACTCCAAACCATGTGCTCCAGTAATTCCTTTTAGATTACAAAAAGGAAGAGTCAAGAGAACCCAGCTCCTCAAGGATGAATATTGCCCTGGGGACATAAGCCAAGCAGGTTGCAGGATGTGGTGATAATAATGATGGTGTAGAGGAACTTAGCACAGTGTCAGTCCTTTCAGCATCTTGTCCTGAACAACACGGGTTGCTTTGAGAGGCTGGTTTTGTAGCAAGAGGCAATGGATTACATATCATCAAATCAGTGCGGGATTGTAGTTTCCTGCATATCCATTGCCTTGGTCATTGCTTCAGTCTGGGTCGCTGGGAAATCTTTCTGCAAGGGGGTTCGCAGGTACAGATGCGATCAGTGGCCACTTCAGCCAGTTTTGCTCGGCATACTGGACAATTAAAGAGGTGCTGGCCTTGATCTATGTGCCTTGCAAAATGAAGCAGGATGCGGAGAAAAATGAAACTCTGTGATTTACACTATGAAAACATCTGAATGAATTGAGAGCAGTCATACATGCATCTTGCACCCATTGCTCTTCACAAACACAAGCGGCCGCCTCCACTTGTCACTTGTTCGCAGATTGCTAACAAAACAGGTATTCAACATTGTGTGGCTCTTGGATGAGGACACAAAGTTGGTCAGAAGGAATAATACAGGGGTCAGCCAAGTAATTCTGTCACTATACCTGTTGAAGAGAAAACTAACATGCATGAAAAGCCTCTTCCATCAGTATAGTGAACAAATGGTGAACCCTTGGTAAAAATCATGGTGCATTTTCTGCTGTGAAATCATTACCTCACACCACTAAGGAGAAGGAGCATCACATGGTGGTAATACATTTGGTCACCCATTTTTAAACTGCTATGGCTTCCTACCTCTCAGTTGAATACATGAAGAGGGATATACCATACATGAAGAGGGATAACCCATAGAAAATTACGGTTGGAAGGAACATCAGGAGGTCATCTAATCCAACTTCTTGCTCAAAGCTGGATCACCCCCTATTATATCATTCCATCCAGGGCGCTGTTGAGCTAGACCTTAAAAACCTCCAAGAATGAAGATTCCACCACCTCTTTAGGTCAGGGTTCCCAACCCCCGGGCAATGAATGATTAGCTGCCAGTCCGCAGGAGGGTTAGCTGCCAGAGTGGAAGTGACTGTAGACCAGCAAACCGTGGACTGGCAAACTGCGGACTGGAAGTGAGCAGCATACTGTGCACCAGCAGCCAACCCTTTATACCGAGTATAAGTACACTGCTGGTCTGTAGTTTGGAGTCCGCGGTGACTTCCGGTCTGCAGTTTGCCAGTCCTCAGCATAAAAAGGTTGGCAACCCCTGCCTTAGGTAACCCATTCCAGTGCTTCACCACCCTCCTAGTGAGAGAGTTTTTTGTGATATCTAACCTAAACTTCCTTTGCTGCAACTTGAGGCCAGAACTTGACTTCTGTCATCAGCTAGAGAACAGTGCAGCTCCATCCTCTTTGGAACAACCCTTCAGGTAGTTGAAGGCTGCTATCAAATCCCCTCTCGGTCTTCTCTTCTACAGACTTCAAAGTGTGCAAAAGTTAGAATACTCACCAGAGGGGCTGCCTGCCAGACTTCCAAAAATGCTTCCGATATCAGCATATAAGACAGGATGTGGCAAAGATTTGGAATTTTAACATCAGTTAAATATCCCCAATATGCATGGTGTTTATAATGGCATTAGAAATGACCCACAGTCCCATTTTATGTCTATACTGTCTGTACCAAAATCTGGAAGCTCAAAAAAATCCAACAGACTTGATGTGAATGTGTATATTACATATCCTTACAAAAAGGAAAGTGCAGCTTGACCCACACTTATAGATTCCCTTAGTGATGATCTACCCCCACAACCTCCAGCTGTAAAATTGTTTCCACACTGTAGAAGCTGTTTCAGGACTCCAACAGCCTAACTAAGGAAACACACCTGGATTCCTCCCCTCCCCCCCAGATAAACAGCTTGGAAATTGCCCCTTCTGGTATATACCATCTAGGTTACCCTTCTGCAGTAACAAGCCCACCACCCCTGAACCAACAGCAGGAAACGTCTAAGGATTCCCACAGCAGCATCAAGTCCACCATGGTATATGTACAGTGCATGCAGAGGCGCACACATTACATATATCTAGAGTTCTTCTCATTAATTGTTTTTACTGATTTATCACCCAAGATGTCATTTGTGTCGACGTTGCACACACATGCAAGATGACACCCTCCCTGCCCTGATGAGTTTATAATCTAATTTTAAACAAGGAACAATAAATGAGTGATGGAAAGAGAAATGAAGAAGGACACAGATAATGACAATGGATCATAATTATATTAATTAGCTATGCACACACCTTGACAGCACAGAATCATTTGAATTTTGAATCATTTGAATTTTTTTTTAAAGATATACATAACAGCCATCCCAAAATTATTGCTCAGAACAGCCATCATTACTTTGCAGATTGCTTGTATTCATCACAGGAGTAGAATTTAAGAGGAGAATAGTGGCTGTATGGATTATTTCAAGAAGGACAGTCTGTGAGTAAAGGGCAGAGATGAAGAAACTGTGAAGATGACTGTGTGAGAAATTGATAAATGAGCTTTCAAGGCTGGCATCAATGGCAGACTGAGGGAGCTGTGTGTGCATGATGTTATAATGATCTGATCAACTACACTATAGTCAATGGCAGTCTGTCCACCGACTTCAATGGGAGCTGGATCAAACCCTGAATGACAAGAGCAGACAAGAAGGGTGGGACTGAGTGTGAAAGTGTCAAGCGGCCTGAAGTACTACAAAAAAGATATTAGTATTGTGACCAACTTTATGCTACTTGGGGAAACTTAACTTCTGCATTCCTCACCTCTCTGCGCCTAAATTCTAGGAATAAAAATGACTGGTTCCATGCCCAGCTCTGAGCCACGACTAAAAAATGTATGTTAGATAATGGGAGCAGCAATAACATTTCAAGGCCTGATATATTGTGAGTAATCAGGGCTAGAAACACACATCTTGCATCACTAGAAAGTTGAGATTCTCAGATTTCCACTGCTATCCAAGTGTACAACATTCCTTTCTAGCCCTGCAGGTTGCTAATGGTCTATGTTACCTTTACCCCTTACTGACCTACAAAAGAACAAAAAGGAAAGACAGGCATAGGCAGGCTTAGCTATTTCCTCCTTCTAGTTCAACTTACTCTGAAAGGGAACATCTACTCTGAAAGGTTTTCTGTACTACAAACTGGGATCAATTCTTCCTCTGTTGCCCATGCATGTATGGAGGTATGGCTCCCTCTCTTCCCCTTATAATCATGTCGTTCAAATCCCCAACTTTCCTTCCTCATCCACCGCAATTCTGATATACATTTATTAACAGTTCCTTCATGAACTACTATGGAAAGAGACAAATGCTTTATCCTAGTTGCAAAACAGAATTCCAAGCTGATAAAAAGCACTGGCTCCCAGGTCTAGCCATTCTCAAGATAGTTGCTGCTACGATCATGTCAGAACTGAAGGTGGGAAAGAAGCAAGATGGTAATCAGAATAATGTGATTTCAAAATCCTGTATCTAGTGACCAGGCAGGGAAAGCAATGACTTAAAGGACAGTAAATGTTTCTAAGCACAGGTTTTGGACCATGGATCATATTTAAAAACTTGCCAAAAGTCTCAGCCTTAAAGTTACTCTCCTAACTATTTTGCATTTATTAGTTTACAGATTTTACATTTAGGAGAAGTTTTACTACAAAAGATATTTTATCTGACATTCACACTATAAAGAGAATTACATTCATTCAATCATCTGAGATATAAAAAGCTGCTTTGAAATATATTTCTGTTTAAAAAGCTTTTCATTACACTACCTAACTTTTGCAAAAATTACTAACCTGCCTGCTTCCTTCCTATCTTTCCCCCCCAAACTGTCTCTTTTCCAATTCATTTTCAAGCAGCTGAAATTGGATGCAGAGCAACTAAACAATTACCTAAGATCAATTCTGAAGAAACAGTTCAGGAAAACACAAGTATGCTTTACGAGATTCCACTGGGAGGAAAGTTTATTTTTACCTGATTTGTTAGACACCCATATAATTGCCTCTGATGAGATGTGGCTCGTATTTCCTACTGCAATTGTTAATGGAATCTGCCACAAGTAGCTGCAAGACAAAGGAGGGGGATCTAAGAACAAAAATACTGAACTGATTCTTCTCACTTACAGCAATCAGGGATCACGTCAAAGAAATCAAAACACCAATTCAGTAGCAGTGTAAAGATTTTGATTCTAACAAGTTACTTTGATTTTGAAATGCATTTGCTATTAGTAACAAAACAATGAAAAAGTAATTCATCTTTAAAATAAAAGATACTAAATTATGGTTTTCATTTTTTACAAGCTATCATCACCAGACAATATTTCTGCTATGTTTCTTCTAATTCAACACACTGCTTTACAAAAGAGGAAAGAATGATCTCCCAATGAAAGACGAGCACTATTTACATTCATTAAGGAAAAAAGAATCTCCCAGGAAAATACACGCTCCATTCATCAGACTCCAAAGTTTAAAAACAACCTAATTTTTTAATACCTTCTTAAAATGGTGTGATGCACTATCATTAATGGAAAGTGGTGTCATTCAATGAATAGGCCTGATCCTCCCATATGGTGTGGTTATTTACATCTTTGCAAATTAGGTGTAAAATGCTGCCACTCAAATTTGGACCAATGTAATCATAAAACAGGAGGAATCTCTGCATCTTTGTGGTAAGGTATGCTAAGAATCATCTCTCATTAAAGATACATTTTATAATTCATCTAAGATCATTCATTACCTTTTGCCTTACCAAACAGAAATTACTGTACCTCTTCTCTCTGTTTTGGAAGATCGAAAGGATCACTTCTTGACTTCACCATTATCTTATCCTTAATCCCCCAAATTAAAAACCACTCTTTCTATAATCCAGTGAGAAGATTCCCTGAAGAGCCTGCTACATTATTTTGCACATTACTGAAAAAGGAAGCACTTGCCAGAAAAATTCCTTTTATGCACACGTTCACTTCCAACTCAGATATTCTGCAATACTGCCTAGGTTTGCTCCACACACAAAGTTGCAATTTTTAATCACTTGAATTAAAATGGTGCAAGCTTGAGTAGGGACAAAGCCCTAAAATCCAAGATCAATTTTACTACTACCAGAATATGCAATTACAAAATTAGTTTGTGGCTAGATATTTTAGGTCACAGCCATCCTTTCCTTCAGTTTTGTTCAGTCTTCCTTATTCAGAAACTTGTTCTATTTAACTATAAACAATACAAAATTTGTCACGGTAACAAAAGCATTTGTTTGTTTGTTAACAATATCAAGTAACATATTAGTGCTTGCAAGAGACTATGAATCTGCTAGGAACCTATCTGTAGCACAGTGCTGGAAATTACACCCATTATGCAGTGCAAGGCAGTACCTCTTATGCATCTTCAACTAGAAATGATAAAATATTATTTCTGTTCCCCTCAGATTGCATCAAGGAGACATGGATTATTTGATTCTTTTCCTTATTATTTCAAAGGTTTGATCCAGCAAATATTTACACACGAATAGCTTTACACACTTGACTTCTCATGCACATAAGCATTTCTAGCATCTGAAAAACAAACCAAAATAGAGCAGTATGCCTGGGAGAATAATATTCCAAAACAGCTATTCTTCAATGGGATGAAGCCACTTAGAAACCTGTATCACTGAAAATGTTATGAGTGATAATAGAAGGCAAAATATGATTTCAGAGTGGTTTATGGCAGCCAAAAAATGCCACTGTGATTTTGGGCTGCAAGGGTACTGGCATCACATATGTAATACTCTCCAGTTCTCTGCCTTAGTTTATAGGACCAAAGTGAATTCCTTCTTCATCTTCTCTCTATTCCATCCCCTTTTGTTGGAGTCAATTCTTTTCTCCATTTCTTTGCATGAAGGGAATGAATTCCTACGTTTTTCTTAGAACAGGAGCAGCACTATCCCTCTCCTTATGTCTCGTGTCTGTGTGGTACAGAGACGTATATATCTCTGACTTGCTCTCTGATGCTTGCTCTGACCCATTAATTCTAGCACTTAGCCTTGAAGACTAGAAAACAAACCAGTTGGTACTTGTACCCTCAACCATATACCTAAAGAAACAGAGCAGCTGAGGTTCTGGGGGAAAGAACATTTAATAGCTTTCAAGTTACATTCCCAACTGGTACATGGTGCTTGAAGAGCTTCAAAAAGCCCTATACATATACCTATGTATATACATATACATAGTGCATAGTATATATATACACAAGTACATATATGTATACTTTTAGTACAGTGCATAGTATATATATATATACTTTTAGACAGAAAGATGGTCTCTATACCTGGGGTGTAAGGTTCAAAAGTAAAATGTGGGGTACCACATTTGAGGGAATCTATGAGGAAGAAGAAATGATACATTTGAAATTTTACTACATGTCGGGATTCTGTGCTGGAACTGCATTGAACATAATTTTGCACATTCATAAGCATCTTGAAGAGATGCATGAAAAGTGGGACTACTATTGAAGGTCAATATAAATACACCTGTTATCGGTATTAGCACATTATTTTTGGAAAGAGTTAAATTCAAGTTGACAGGATAACATTCACAATTAAGGGAAATGTACTGCAACTCTTTGTTTTGGTGGCACCACACCAATGTATAATACAGAAGTACATTAGTATCTGCATTCAATTTACAAAATAATTTGGAGAGACTTGTTTGATATAGTAATACAATTTAGTAACTGCTGAAGTGCATGTAATACCAGCCACTAGCTAATTATGCTGTGTTTGGATTATATAGATTTTTTTTTGCCTGGAACATTACATTACAACTACATAGCCTGTATTAGCGTACTTTATCTTACTAAAAAAAATATCATATTTGTGATGAGTACTTGCTTATGCCTTAACTTACAACAAATAATAACTGAGAAACCTCAGTGGAAAAATTCAGACTGTAAACTACTATGCAAACATGGTACTTCACCCTCCTATCTGTGATGAATAGTAATGTTATAGTAATATTGAACTTCCAATAGAACTATTAGTTGGCTTTTTGTAAAGACCATGCAAAGCAAGAAAATGCACACTAGTATTTCTCCTACTGACATAATAAAGATCTCAGAATTATTATAAAGAATGGGTGAGATTCCTGGAGATACAGATTTTACACACCTCTCAACTAGTTCTGTACATTAATCATTTTTTTCCTGCAATTTAAACCTCTATTTTTGTCATGAATCATTTTCCTGTTAACTACAATGTGGCTGTGATGTCACCCTTGCTATACAGTGAACCCTGCGCTTTTCAGTTCATATTTGCTCCCCTCCCTGTTCCTTTATTCAGTGCCATTTTGGATGTGCTTTTCACTCTGCCTGCTGTTTTATTTTACTTTGTTTTTCATTTGATTTTTTTTCTGTAGTAATTCTGATCTCAATCTAGACCGAGGTAGGTAACTTCCAGCACATGTGACAGAGTAGGGCATGCAAAGGCATTTTGCTTGGCACACATGCCTCAGGGCAGACGGTGGGGAAGGGGCCAGGGCTACCCTGCCACATCAAGGATCGGGCACCTTGTGGCTCCCCTTTCGTCCACCCCTACTATGCCAACATCTTACAGGTCAAAGGTGCAGGTGTTTTTGACATTCTGCCCAACTATGTTGCCTACCCCTGCCCTATACCTTTTAAATCCATGATGCTTGAACAGATTCATATTAGACAAATTAACTCATTCCTATTATTATAGACAGTTCAATTAATAGGATGGTTTGATACTCAAAGCATCTGATTTTAGGTGCTAAAATCCTTGAAATTAATATGATCACTTTTGGTGAATCCATAACACATCTGCCCCTAAAATATTGTCCCAGACTGTAATCTAAGCAACAATGTTTTGGGGGTGTGAGCATTACAGGAGAGCCCATATTTGTGGCTCACTGATCCTGACATTTAAGACGGAACATAATACATATGCTGGAGGATAAAACTTGGGATGTTTTATACTTACCCAGTATTAGTATAGAGTGGAATGACAACAAGGGAGGAGGCCATTTGGATGTGAAGTATTATGTCATGATCTACTCACATTCTCCCATTAGAGAATGCAGCAAGATCTGACACTGTTATGGAAACCTAGTATTAGGGAGGTCTGCAAGAACCCTACCAACATGTGAAGACTGTTCAGGAAAATTACTGTGAGCTGTTTCAGGGCCAACCTATTTCTCTTTTTCAGCAGTGGCAGGTTTTTTTAATGGCATGTTCAGGGGGGGTTTTGTTTTGGGGGTTTGTTTGTTTTTTAACTTTAGCAGATCAGGAACAGGACTCATTTGTAAAGCCAATAGAGAAGACTTTTGCAGCTATCTTGTCAGTGAAGAAACCTCCCTTGGGGCTGAGAGGGATTTTATCTAAGGTTCATTGATCCACTTTTTGTCGTGTTTTCAAAGATGCCTAGACTAGAAGTAGTGAGATCCTCCTTATCTTTCCTAGCAAAAAGGGGATTTGAAAGATATTAAGAACTGCAGATCTACTACACCTTTGAATGCAAATTACAAAAGTCTGCCTCCCGTTTTACCCAGGAGATTTAGGAAAATAGCAAGGAAATTACTGTATCCTCATTAATCAAATTCAGTTAAAAGTTGCACAGTAGCAGATACTTTGTGTGCTTTGGGGAAATTTTCAAACTAGGAGGCTTATGTGTCAGCCTTGGGTCAGGCCAGCTTTTGAAGGAGTGAACATACTTTACTTGCAGTTGGTCTTGTCACAATATCACATTCGCTTGTAGCATGCTCACCTGTTACTCTTACATACTCACAGACTATGTACCTTCATAGAGAAAACCAGAGAAAGGGACAGATAATACCACATTAAACAACAAGGTACAACTGTTTGTTGAGTTTGTTTGTTTTTGTCTGGATCATTTATTGTATCATGAAAGGGCATTTCAGGGTTTAAATGTACAGACTATGGAGAGAGGAATTTCACTTGTCAATGATAATTTTCACACATGCAGAAGATGTCATAGTGCTGGTAGGCAATGTAGAAGACGAGGACATATTTTTTGACACTTTACACAACTTTGCATCTGCGGCAAGAGCAGCGAT